GTCATCATCCCGAACAAGTTATGCCAGTTCGTTTGTGCTTACAGAATTACACTGTTGTTCATTCGGAGCTGTAAACATATTATAGGCTCACGTATAAAAACTGATTTAACAGCCAGGTGTCAAACAAAGGCTCAATAATTTGAACACTTATTCAACCCTGCTAGGTTCAAGCTCTTACGTTAGAGTTTACAAACGGATCCTGGAGGAAGATCCATGTCTGCTAGTTATTAATGGAAAAAAATGATCTTGATAATCGGCAATCCATATACATGAAAAGCGTAGAGATCTATTTACTCAACGCCGTTTAGACTCAGCATAGCACACAAGTACAGCAATTTTCGAGGTACTAATCGGAATGGGAAACGTTCCTCACACTACCGCCATGAGCGCGGTGTAGAGCCAGAGTTTCGAGAACGTTTTACAACTAGAAAAATCAATAAAGGTCTTATCCATTTTAGTCCGGAACAAATAGTGATCATACGAGTACACGAGGATGATTCAAATATCTAATAGACTGCTAGATAAATTCATGACGTCGAATAATCGAAATCTCGAACTGCACTCGGAACATTATTCGGTTATAAAGCGAGATGCTAATGAAGTTTGTCGAGTCGATCCGAATATAATGCTTGCTTAATTATTAGGCCGCTGAGTGGACTGATTTCAAGCAGCAATTAAGGCTAGGTTACGGAACTACAACGACCCCGATGATCGTGGCGCTGATCACTAGGAAAATGACTATGTGAGGAATTTATTTAATTCACTCATTTTCAGGAACTGCATGAATAGGTGTCAGAAATTATGTCTTCGCGTGACGGTAACTAAGTAGTTTCCTTAGTTAGCATGGGATATCTCAAAAAGCACTAACATCTAATTCTTTCAGTTTACAGCAAATGAGTGTTGTACTACTTCCATTATTCAGTAGGTAATAGCGCAATGAGCAAGCCAGCGCGAGTTTCTCATTGGCTAAAACGCATAATTGTAAGACAATAGAAACTAATCATAAAGTGTTGATTCACTCTACAACGCTCTTCTAATGCCGATGTGCTATTGACAGAAAGTGAGCAACTATGAGCGGTCGTGGTTAAACTTACTACTTGGTCACTCTTGATAATTCGGCTGTTACTATTGTCTGTGCAGCTGTACAGTTGACAGTAGCACAGCAGACAGCAATTGAGTTTGGATCAAACGACGTTCAGCCAGCTACGCTGGCTTTCAGCCGGGCGAGATCAGCTGGCTTTGACAGCAGGGACCAGCAACGTCGATGCTGCTGCTGCTGCTACTGTGACCCGCCGTATTGGCAATGCTCCACATTATGACTATGAGCTATTGTTGCGAGACAGAGCGTCCAGCAGCCGGTGACCTGGGACTCTGCAGAATCCATACACTAATGCTCCCGTCGGGTCCCTCTGCCCCCACTTACTAGTTGTACTAACAGCATTAGCAGCAGCAGCAACAAGAAATGGTGATACAAATGGCGAAAGAGCAGTGCGTTCGAAATACAGCTCGGTAGAATCCTAGGAACCGCAAGAAGAGAATTCCGCGTCCGTCTACACGAATCGTACCTCGCACTTTCTCCTTCACTCTCATTCTCAAATGACAGAAACAGGTACAGAACGTAGGTAGTGATATACTTCATACAGCTACGTCGTTGATTAAAACATGGAATTCCCTGTTTTGGCTCAACAATAATGTGTCTCCTCATGAACCTTGGAGGTACATTTTAGGTGTACGCCAGATGCCGATAGTAGAGACCATTCTCGACGATCGTCTGCGATGATTGCGAACGGCGGCCTTAGACTTGGTTTCAAGTCTAAGAGCGCCGTTTCCATGCCGAATGAATACTACAGTTTTAAAGTATTTATTCAACATGAACAATAGCAAAGCTATGAAGCGTACGTACACTACAAGCAAGCAGGCAGCAAGAATGAGGAAGTGCAAGAACCTCAACGATAACCATGTTGGCATTACTTATGTCCACCATATTCTTACTAGGAACAAATAAATGTAACTGAAACGTCGTTCGAAATAGCTGTGACCACACAACACATACCGCCAGAACAGCAGATAACTGTTGGTAGATCACAATGCTGATTTCAATATTTTCGAGAGACTCCAGTACAAAGATGTATTCCAGCAAACTTCAGCTTTCCTACATTAAGGTCAAAATAGTAAAATCACTATATAAATGAACCTATATCAAACTGGAATTGTGAAGCAACCAAGATTGAATTAATTAAATATAAACTGGGACATATAACCAGAATAGACTCTACGTAGAGCTACGATGCAGCAGAAGTAGGTTTAAAGATATAAGTCTGTTCGATATTTGCTGTTCGCACTGCTGAATAAATAAATGGTAAGCTGTGCAGCAAGAACTTTCCAAGTACATGCCCCGAGGCAGCTGATTAAATATCGGCTATTGTTTACTAGCTCTTGCATTTCAAATTCACTTGATAAGGAACAATAACATGGTCGACGTCTCGGATTCAACAAGCACCTAATATGTGAGGCCTGCGAGTCATAATGTGGATCCAGCTTATTTTAATAACGTACCAGTATTCAATATTTGACCCTTTTGGTATTTCACTCGTGTCATTTGGGTCAATTGCGGTAACGCTATGCCTGTTAAACAGATGTTCGACTTGATCCAGTCGACAGGCTTAACAATCAGAAATGTACTGTATAACACAACACAGTATGCGTAACTATATAAGAACAATTATTTCACTTCGTGCGACGTTAATGTTTCCAAATATACCATAAAAAATTAAATTTTCTTCGTAGTTATAAGTTCTAACAAATCACTGTTCCCGCATCTGCATGTGTAAAATCCATGACAAAACATTTTATGGTTTCAAGCAAGCTTACATAATTCGGGTCACTAATTTCGAACCATTATGTATGAATTTAAGAAGATGCGTATGAAAAGATGCCGCTTGTTGTAACGTACAGTAGTAATAATATGAAAAAAGTTATAGCTTGCATGTAAAACATGAGTAGTTGAACACAAGCTTTTGAAATTAAGCTTCTTTACATAATAATGCAGTCGAACATTATTTATTATGAAGGAATTTACGATATCGAGCAGGAGTAGGGTGCTCCTCGGGTATGTTTTGTGAAGAGCTCGTACAGGTAGAAATAGATATAGGCTAGTGGGAAATTCAATGCTTCCATCAGGAAATTAATATTCCATAACATTGTAAGCTCAAACATTGTTCATACGCGCTTTTTCTATTGCAAATTAGAACAATACGTAATAAGATCTTAACGAGCTTTTTTCTTGCAAAAATTAATATTTATCTTGGGGCGTCGTTCAACTAACATTAGAAAACTGTGTCCGTATCTATTTTCTATTTTAAAACAATGATAATAATGCATAAACAATTATGCTGAAATAAGTAAGAAACTTTACCGAAGATTATATTGGTCATATTTAGTCAATTGAGGCTGCATCCTGGAAGCGTAAAGTGGAGATCCAACTGCCATCATGGAAACCAAACCAAACGAAGTATTTCGCATTTTAATCAGTAAAAAAACGTCTAAAACAAATAAAAAGAAAAGGAGACTTTCTAGCATTACCGTAACTCTTCCGAACTATCGAATACACAACTGTCTTCCGAAATCTATCGTACTGCTTGCTATATTATTCTGGCATATATATTTATACATTATATATATATATATATATATATATATATATATATATTAGTTTTGCAGAATGTCAGAGAAAAAGAGAAGTACGTCCGTTTCTATCAATGAATTAAGGCGTCCTACGTAGCGGATAGCCACGTATTGATATTTCTCAGATTTTGTTGAACTCGTTTTAGCTTTCTGCCGCAAGTCCTCATTGACTATCACAATATGCATTCAGTTCATAGCCCTATCTCGTTCTTGGACTTTAATGTGGTGAGCAAATTCATACTTAGGTAGATTTAACGTGAAGGAATGCCCCTAATTGTACTATTGGTCCCACTGGTAGTGACCGAATGTTGACCACGACTCCATAAGTGTCCCAAGTAAACAGAGTCAACTTGAAGCAAACAAAGTGGACGGCAACCTTAGGTGGCTTCTTGAGTTGACGGTTTCTCAGCATCGGCATGTCTGCTGGCTTCGACAACCTAAAAAAACTCCGTACACGGTGTAGTTGTCTGCTACTCGTCTAAAGGACTCAGTGCATGCCGCTTAGAGTAAATGTTTGTTATGACCGTCAGAAAATTTTTCGCAAACGATTGCAGTGATCAAGCACCAGACAACAACTCTTTGTTGAGACTGACATTACATAGAGATGTTTACAATCTCCATTCAAAGCCTGGCCGTATGTAAAAATCTATCATACTTGAATGATGGTGACAGTTGACTGGGCAGGGTCACCATGTTGGGCAAATGAATGCATTATATTACCCTATCGACGGTGTCAATACGGTGAAACAATACATCAGTATTTTATATATTGCTACGATTTTATAAATCAACATTTTTTGAGAGACATGTACACTGTACAGACAATTGTAATTCAATTCATGATAGTATGATTTTGTACAATATCACCTCTAGCAACAACTTCTATAATGGCATAGATAAAAACAGAAACCATAACGCTTATGTTAACATCTATAATATGAAAACAAGTAAAAATGTCGAGTCGACATACCTGTTCAGCAATCAACGGCCTTGGCGCTGTGAGGCCAATTCTGATCATCGCAAACTGTTTCACCGTGATCACGCACTCAATTCATTCACGCGTCTTTTCTGCACAAAAAATAGTCCTCGTTCAGATGTTCTTTCATACACTCGAACTCCCTCAACGTGCTTACGGCACGCTAACAAACAAAAACACATACACACACGCCGTAATCACAAACGTTTATATTTATAATCTACGGTAGTTTTTTGACACATGCGCACTCCACCGGCCGCCGACCAGGCAGGAAGCCATATGTGAGTTAACAGCTGCAACGGAAGAATCGAAACAAAGCGACTGGGCACCGCCAAAACAAAGTGATAGACCCAAAAGAAGTCTGACCTCGGGAGTGTGTCAATCCATCTAGTGATATCAATGGTATATTCACGAGCCGAAAAAGAGAGCGAAGGTGTGTGAGACATATAGGGCATAGCAGCAATGAGCGACTGAGTGAAAGCTAACTGACGACTGGCAAGGAATAAGCGTGGCAATATCGTAGATAGGCGAAAATCAAATGGAAACTGTACCTAGCGTAAAGGTTTGTTTTTAATTTATCTCATCCCTTAAGAAGCTTCTCTTTGAGACTCGAAATTGCAATCTCGATGTTCACACTAAACATGACGTCATCTGATCATAGTCGTGATACGTTTTGCCGTCCACACAGTCCGATACGGTGCAAAAGTGCATTGTGCATATCCAGCTTTATAGACAAATCAGAATCTGCTGGTCTAGGGTGCTATCTATAATGCACTTCTGGATTTTGAAAAACCTATGAATTGATTATGGTAATCCTTCGTTTGCTACCGTCAATATATCGACTTTTCTATCCGCAGTACGACCTGGATCCGAGGCATGTCACTGTATACGTCCGAGTTGAATTGCATAGTGACTCAAAAGTGCGCAATTCAAAAAAAAACGCGGCAAAATTCCATCTTTCTGCTATGAAGAGTAAAAAAAAACGAAGGTGTTGACTCTTATCGAATTGGATCATCCTAGAGAAAAAAACTGAGAAGAGAAAAAACCTTCTTATAAAAAACAGACCCAAGTCAAAGGCTGGGCTTCAATTTTGGATTTCCGACCAAATGCGCGACTCTAAATCTGTAATAGTTGGACACATGGAAGTTTTATGTCGCCAAAATAGATGATCGCTCCAAAAAAACGCAATACGGTAACATCCTATCATTTACTTGCTACTATAATTTTTGCTCCCACTCTGCGTGGGGACGCCTATTTTGACCTAAGCTCTAATATGCACTACTGGTCGAAAGCAATAAAGGCAGGTCAAAGGGCACGAATATTACCACCTTGTGTTCACGTTAATCTATGACGACTTGAGTTAACGACTTCGCTCAGCCATGTTCAATTCGAAGACAGCAGTCGGCGAAATAGAGACAGCCATAGCTCCAACATACGCCAGCCAGATAACCAGCAGGACGCTAGCTAATATAGCAGTATTTTGTTGCTAGGGGATAAAGGGAGTAATCAAATGAATGCAAGCAACGATTGAAGCCAGCGGCCTGTGTCTCTAGCCACCGGCAAGGAGGCAGCAACGCCAGTAAAACACTACTCTATGACCACCAGCAGAGTAATTCCGGACACACCATAGACGCTTCGAAGACGAGAGAACTATCCATAGTTGCCCACGGTTTACCTATGCCGGCGGTCCTTCTAGTCGAGGTAATAGAAATAGTTCTTGTAGATCATCGCCGTGGCCGCCGCTGCTACTACTACTGCTGCTGCTGCTGGTGTTGCTGCTGCGGCGGCACGGTGAGCAACTTTTGCTGTTGTTAGTACTGGTCGCCGCCGCCGCTGCCGACGACCACTAAGATGGAGACATTCTTATTATGGTATGGTACCATCCAAAAGCGAAAACCAGCAGCATTGCTACTGTTGCTGATGCTGGATATGTATTGTCAGGCTGCCAAGACCAGACGTATGCCATCGGCAGATTATAGCATTGTACTTGAATATGAACTCGATGTATAACAGATTTTTACATAGTAATACAGTAACGCTCAACTGACCTGATTGTTGCTCTGCATGGTCATTAGGCAAGTAATTAGACCTATTAGTTCATTCTCAGTGGAAACTGGCCTTCGAGTAGAGAATCACGATTTGCCACAAGAGTATCTGAGTACACGCGAATACACAACATACACTTGATACGAGAGGATCATAAAACGATCGATAACTCCAACTTAGTTATAGGTTGAATTGACTCTACCTTTAGAACGTACTTTGACCACTTTTTATATGCAACACAATACAAAATAGATTGGTCACGCGCACTTCTGGGCAACGTCCAATAATTGGTTGGGTTCCGAAGCACATCCGTTCTGCAGAATGTTTGATGCTTTGCAGCTGAGGTAGTCACGTGGTCTCAAGCAACTCTCGGTGGAGATTTAGCAGAGGGGCAATAGTCTGGTAACCTCCTTTAGCGCATTTAGGCTTCGGGTATCTCCTTTCCTTTACTCACTTGTTTCACTATTACTTTTAGAGAAACTTTTGTATCGAAAGCAGTTATCATGCACAATATACCGTCAGAGAGATGCCTGGTGTATAGGTCACGAAATATTTATCTCTCCATATTTAGGAGTTCTATTTGAATGAAGATGATAATAAGACTATGAAAAAACAACGTCATATACATACCCATAAAACATGTACCTATTTTGCATAATATATTATCGATTAACTACGAATGATTGCGTAACATCCACATTAGATAATGGTATCCGTCGTGTACTTATTTGACATATACACTTTTCAAGCGTACTACTATATGTGTCGATAGAATTTAGTTTTAGACATTGACCAAATAACACTACAAACAAGTGGGGCATCTCTACCAAAACCAATCAGACCAAGCCAACTTGCCTGCACTTGACGATGCAGTAAACATCCAGTAGCAGCAGCGCTAGACATCAGCCCAATCCTATACAACTCTGTGTTGCGTTAGTTTGTGCTGTCAATTTTTCTATTCTGACTCCATTTCCTATCAGCCATATCAGCAGCAAGCCATGAGACCCCAAAAATGTTTGCCTTGTATACACCTTCCCATCAAACTCATACTGATTTTTAGCACAAGTTACTTTACGTTGTTAACTTTACACATTTATAAATATGTCAATATAGTTTATGTATGAAAAAGACAACGCTGCCGGCAACGTGTGTGTTTAGCTGCTGGGCTGGGACTACCCCAGCTTCCACAGTAGCAGTAAACGACAGTGCGGCCACATGTCTGCGGCATGTCGCTGTCGGATATCGTTCTCCTGAACTTTTCAGCAAATCAATTGACACCGAAGTACAGTGAGCATGTGCCCCCATCTGTTCGCATATAGAATAGCACGTATTTCATATTAACTAACCAGAATTTAACAGAAAACGTGAAAATGTACTCACTCTTTCACAAACGTGTTTACTGGGCCCAGTGACCGCTCCGTTCCTCGCAGACGAAATTATCCTCAGCTGCGCCCTCTATCGACTGTCGCGGCAAACTATCGCGAATTAGAATCCGTCTTAATTCTAGCTTTATCTAAAGATCAATTATCACAGAAGCACTTTTGTGAGCAATTCTTCGTCCTAGTTCGACTTATCAGCAAAAGTCACGCAGCAGAAAAATTCCAGTAAAGTTTTACGTTCCGGTGACGTCAAATGTAAACACAAGCAGATCATCTGTTCTGGTTGCCTCTTCGAAAGGTTCCGCCGTCTCAATTCCGGTAAGATGTTGTTCTAATATTCACTTTATCGTATGAAGTTCGTCTTAAAACACGAAGAGGAAACGATATTCATAGTTTATTTACCCGAACTGTGCCAGATGTGGATATGCTATAGAGCGTAGTGTACAACGTAGTCAGTGCAAAGAGTTAATTGCGTGGAGCTTGCTAAACTTTATAGACTCCTTATCTCAGTCTGGCGGTCCGAACAGGGAGACTTAGTAAGTAGGTACCGCTCGGTACTTTAGTTCCGTGTGTGTAAATGTGAATGTTTCGGGTAGTGCGAGCTTCAATAAAAAATAGCTGTGGCCGGTATCCGGCTGGGAAAGTTTTAGGTGACCTCTCTGGTAGTTTTCACTGTTTGTGTGCACAACTCTATTGAATCGGTGTTCCGCGGTTACAGGAGGTGTCATTGCAACTGGCCAGAAGCGGGCAGAACAAATTTCGTACAAAAGAGCGTCTTCGCATTTAAATATGATTTCTGTTTAGGAATCGAACTGGGTGCTCGCTGCTATTTCGTAGCTTCGTAGATGTGTATCGTACGTGCAATAGATCGTGCTTTCCAGTGTAATTTTTCTAAGCGAAATGAAAAGACAGTAGCAGAAAAGTCAGATTATTATTATTCGAGTTATTCGAATAGGTGATCGAGACGCGTGGTTTTGCTTACGTAACGTGCGATTTCATCTAGGTAGGTACAGTAAGCTGAAAGATTATAATCTTAAACGCCCTCTATTCGTCCAAATTTGCGTATCAGCAGCGGCATAATTGCCACTATCATTATTTTTGGTCGCTCTGCGGGACAAAAGACATTAAAAACAGCCACACGTGCATACAGCGTCTTAAGTAAATAGAACATATTAGTCAGCCAACTAGACCGAAAGACAATTTGCGCCAGTGCATGGAGGGTACTTTATTTATGTGAACCTTTTAAACGGTGTGTGACTACACCTACTGATTGATAAAACGGCGCGAACTGAATTCTCTCTATTTGGTTAGGTGGTACTAAAGATTAGGGAGTGGTCTTTGAAGTTGTTGCCTGTTCATCTTATATTTGGCCTGAATGCATACGCTGTTTAGAGGGTTTCAAAGCTAAGCGCTAAAACCAGTTGATTCGAAAGTTAAAACAGCTAGTACGCATAGCAATAACACCATTGTAAATCGATTGTTGTATAAATAATAACTTTATTCTCCTTAATTGTATAGTTCTGTTGTTGGACTACAGATCGTGTAGTATTCATAGGGCAAACGTTTAACAGATGTGTCGAATTAGTCGTGACAATTGGTGCGACACTCGGAACAAATACTTTATGTATCTGTTTTTTTTTTTAGTTAGTCTTCTATATTTCTGTGTTTTAAATAAGTAGTATAAGCACATAGTTTTTACGATGATATCACTGTATCGCTTGACGTCATGATTCTCTTTACAATTAGCTTATGTTCCATATAGATACTTAGCTGCCAAGGTTTTACTTCTCGAATTAGAAAGTATGCTATCAATTCTACTTTAGCAAGAAATATATATATCTACCGAAAAATTTTTAAAGCATTTTTATAACCAAATTTGTGTTTAACGTGTTTCAGAAAAATGACTTCCTTGGATATCGATCAGGCTAAGAAGGACTTCCTTCCGCCTGAGGGCTGGAAACGAAATCCAATTCTGCTGCAGCTGAAGAAACTTGATGAGGCCCTCACGTATAAGTTGGCTCTTGCCTTTACTGAGGATTCACTACTTGGTCATCTGCAGGTATGGCCACTGTTTTTCACGCATTTGTTTTGATCCAATGCACGGGAAGGTATAAAATACATGGGATAAAATTCTTCGTTCGAGATGCGCTACTTGTCCATATAAGATTCTCTTTACTAAAAAAATCTCATCTCTTCCTTTACAAATGTAACGCTGCCTTCGCACCTATCCTATTATAGCTTTCTTTATGTGCTTTTAGTCCTACTCCGCTGGTTGAGGCTCCGCAGCCGTTCATCGTCCGTTATGTCCGTATAAATTTGCTATCAGTCGTCATCTAACGAGTGTAATCGTAACGTTAATAACCGTATCGATAAATACAGTGTGCTAGTTAATTTCTTCCGGCTACCCAGTGCAACTAATTATTTTAAATTTTAAATTAAGCAGATGAATTAATAGACGATCAAGTAATCTTAAGATCAAAGACGACAGCAGAAAGCCAGGTGAATTTAAGACGACATTTTATATAATTGATACTAGGAGAAATATTATGTTCTTCATTCTGTAAGCGCGAGTGTGCAAACTTGTAATGTAAGTTCATTCTCAGCGCTACTCATAGCAATAACAGAGTAATTCAAGAAGAACAAAATGGGTCCGTAGATCTTTGAAAAGTCTAGACTCTATATGTCTGGTTATTGTTAATGTGGTTGTTCGCATGATTAATTGGGCAAGGTTCTTTAAGAATTTAGATATTGGAGTTACGTAACGATATATCACAGTATAAAATCTCATGACGACTAGTCAATGTAACCTTTAAAATATTCAATGTAAATATCCGTAAAGTACGCCTACACTTCAAAGCTATTTGATATTTCCTCGTCTTTGTATTTGTCGTTATAGATAACTATCCTGTCAAGTTAGCTAAGAAAAAACGAAGTTGTCTTTGTCTTTGTCTTTTTTTATTGTTTTTAGTACAAACTTCGCATGTTTGAGTACTCTGCCCATACACTGATGTGCTTTGCCTTGGCACTCTTCTTCTGGTACATGAGCATCTCGATGGCTTCGAAAACTCTCTTCACGAATATTATCCTTGGTAAGTACCATGAATTAAACCGAAGATTCTACTTGCATTTTAGCATTTAGAGTTCAACGCTATTTACTATAACTGTATTGTCCACAGTGCCACTTGAGCTTAGCTACCAGCAAATGCTTTTAATATCAAATAATACTACGTTCCCTTGAGTTCAACAGTACCGTAGTTTTTATCTGCATGATTTTCCATCAACATCAACCTCACCCCGTTGTCAGTAGCTGTGGATGGTTAAATTTAGACATCAGAAAATTTGGTAAGACAACTTGTATAGCACGACAATGAGTAAAAACAATTTTTAGCTGGACATTATCAGATATGAAATTAGATTTTACTTTAACTAAGTTTTTAGATTCACTGAATGAGAGAGAATATGAAAGATGAAGACTATTTGAATGCCCGTCTAGCGTTCGAATAACGGAGGCCGGTTAACTGTCGACTTCAGTTATGTATAATTTCTATTGACATTCATGTTACACGTCTATATTAATCATATTGTGCTTCCTCAATTATTTTTGTGTCGTTGATTTTCTCGTTTTCGTTTTCTGTGTCCTTATCAGCCATGCTGATTGACGTCCTTGTAATTGCATTTGTGAAGGCTGCGTGCCGTCGGCGTAGGCCTGGGGTAACCCGCCAGCAGTACGAAGTGAATCCTTCTTCAACAAACCTTAGCTTCCCGTCTGGCTTCGTATCACGAGCAACGATGATTTTTTTAATAATTCTTTCGCAGGACTTCATAGCATTCGTTCCCATCGCGTTCCTCACGTGGGCTGTGCTCATGCTGCTCACAAAAATCGCTCTGGGCAGGTGAGATAATTTGCGTGTCTTAAAAAGCAAACAATGAGACGACAAAAAACAAATAGTGTGATATATTTTTCATTTTTTTATGTTCAAGTTATAAGTTCATAAATACGGTCAAATGAATGTATTCTAATCCATCCTATATTTTATGAATATACATGCTTAAAGAACACACGCTTCACTAATAAATGTTCTTTTATTGTAGGTTTTTTATTTTTGATGCAGTCGCCGGAGTGCCCATTGGCTATGCGGTAAATTGGTTCATTCAGGCTGTGTGGATGGACGCGGCTGATGTGGCCGCGCTAGAAGGATTTTTCGCGGGACAGTTCAACGACGAATGAGCCGGCCTTTTTCCGTTAACGAATGTTGTTGTATGCATAAATATAGCGCCTATGAAGTAAGATGTGAGTAAACAAAGATCTGAGCCTTGCCGATATAGCTTAGGTTGCGTCTATACAGGCCCAAAGATAAGCCTACTTAACTCATGAATAACGTACTTTCTGTATAAGGCTGTAAGTTATATGCTTAGGTCAGTAACCTTAACGTTCAAATTTTCATTACCATCAATCAATTTGGTGTAAGGAAGCGTGTAATAATGGTTTGGTTGGTAATAATGGCACATAATGCTAAGGAGAGGATTGTATAGAACTAATGCTTGAAACAATCGAAACTTCGTAGCGTTTTACCAAGCCCTCCAGGCCGACCGAGGCCTGAACTCTAATATTAAACGTCACTTTAATACCAATAAAGTAACGTGAGCAATGAAACTTTTATGCGTACAGCTTTTTCTACTCTGCGATAATTCATAGTACATTTTTCTGACACACTCAGTTATCGCATTGTTGTTATGTGGAAAGCAACAATTCGAAATGTGCATCTAAAACAACCTTCCGGTCGCTGCTACTCTGTCAGAGCTTTTCTTTCACTATAGAAAAAACAAATGGCTACTATTAAATTAAAATTACTATACACTCATTGCCCAAACAGCGTAAAACAAGACGCAAGTATTTTTATTCACCGAGATAATATAGTGGAACAAAATAAAGGCTGTACGAATTACCGAATAAAAACACGTTTTTTAACTTTAACAGAGCATACAATATAACCGGGTAGCAAAATGTGTCGGTTCCAGCAATGAGAGCTTTACGCGAAACTTGAGTGAGTAAGAACTAAAGAAACTGGTGCTGCCGATGCCCCCTTCTGCAATTATGGAAAAATTTCAATCAGTTTGTATGCGCTGTTTATCGTTTGCATCTGGAATTTGAAGGTACGATGTAGGCAAGAGTTAATATGGTAGCGAAATTGGAATACTTTGTCGAATGAAGCGCTGCAGATGCAATCCTAGTTACCTTAAATAATGTTATTTATATCCTATATATTGGTACTATACTTGTTCCCCTGGTCAACTTTTAATATATCAGATGTAATGTTAGAGGGGTGTATGGTCACTGAACGCGAAATAAATTTGTGATGTTGATATAATGTGGTCAGCGTCTTGGTGTTGTTAGTTTTTTATAGAAAAATCAAGTTTTGATGTAGTAAAAAGACTAATTTGTGAGCGAACGTGGTGTTTTAGGAGTATTGGATCATAGATAATGGTTGTTTGTATGATCATATGCACATATTTATACTAATACCACCGTTTACAGACACCAACGCGGCTATCAGGATCGTCTGCGCAGATATACACATATATCGTTAGTGGGAAAATCGTGTACTAAACATGTGTTGCATAGCATAGCTTGCTTAATATATATTGTTACTGTATATTAAAGTAGAAGCTATTAGGGAACAGCTGACTGTTGGACGTTACCTTTATTATAAATATAATCAGCCTTTTACTTAATAGCAAAACAGGCTCAAGAGAAGGCTTGCGTGTGGCGTTCTAGTGTGGCAGTAAATCTAGTGAATTTCATTGAGGAATAGCCATGGCACAAAAAGGTTAGATCTTGTTCACAACAATAAGGTCAAACTTAGTCATTGTTTGCTTTACTATTTTGAAACAAATTGTGTTTCCAGTTCTCATTGCTATAGAGAAACTTCCTAATGCTCCTCGTGTTAATACGAGGTCTTATATAAAAAAAAAAAAAAAACAACTGGTGAGATAGCATATTCCGCTATCGGTTTGCTTCGAAAAGCCATAGATAGAGAAATTACGTATGGGAACGTAAACCGTACGTATATAGAGGTTGCCACAACCTACGAAGAGAAAAAAAAGTACCGCTAATACGTACTAAAAATCATCGTTCAAGCCCAACTAGTTTGAAAGGTTCGCTGTATCTGCTTGTAGCAGTCTAGCAGTCCTAGGCTATCATTGGGTGCCTTAGTTAACTGAGATCAAGGGAGAAGCGAGTTTAAAAAATACGAAGGTGCAATCACTTATTATGTTCTAGTCAAACAAAGTACTGTGTTTATCATCTCGTGTGCGAAACAGATTATCTTGTGTTCAACGCACGTATCTAATCGGACAGTGTCGTCCAGTACAAGCGATAGCTAAACCAGTGTTCATCGGCTCACAAAAAATTCCCTCGCTATCTCCGGTCGAACTACTAAGTATTTAGACGTTATTGGACAAGACTTTTTTTTAATAAAGAAATAGAAACCTCACTATAAGGTTCATGCACCGAGTTATAAGAAATATTTGGTCAACGGCTACTACGGAGAACATTCATCTAACCAACCTGGAATATCTGACAATGCAAAATTTGGTGCGCAGAAATGGAAATTATCGATGCTGAATTACATGTTGGTCTTAACAACTTCATGGCTGGTATTTTCTGAAACGTCATCGATAAACAAACAACGAACAAGAACAACGAAAGCGGAGATCCAAAAAAAAATAAAAAGGGAGTTCCGTGTTAACTAAAGCACGCGATAGGAGTGCTGGCCGGGTAAAGAATTGCAGTTTGGTATAGGCGCGCGTCGGCCGTGTGGCGTAGGTCACATTTCCTCTTTACTCAGCATTCCTCACCGTGGCCTTTGTCTTTCTCGGGAGATTGAAATAATCATGAAATTGGTGGGATGGCTCGCAATACATAACAGGTAAAACGTTTTATTAGAAGATGTAACTTCCGTTAGTGAAATTTATGAATATTCCAGTGGTTTGCAGCTTTTAACGCTTTGTAGCATTTTGTTGTCATATCACGGTAAAAAATATTCTACTGCGCAACGGAAGATAAGTTTAAGAAACACGTGAACACTTAGGCTTACGAATATATATATATATATATATATATATATATGCTCTATTAAAACCGATTTATTTATTCAGTCATATTAGATATCACTGATAATGTGATATAAGAAAATCATCCTGTTTTATTGGCACACATTATGAATGATCTTAGGGTTCAGAAGGAGTAGTTTCAATAATTTATAGTATTATCTAGAAACCTCTAATAAAAGCCGGACCACTACATGAGTTTACTCAAAGAAGCGATTGTGAGAAAAAAACATATACCGTACCAATAATCCTAGGTATCCCCGCCGCTATTGCTATATAAGGACGAGGTTTTGTTTGAATAAATAGTATTTTGTTGAAATAAATATTAAGTGTTGTCTAAGTAATACTGTGAACGATTAGTTTGCAGTATTTTTAATATCAATTTTAGCTTTACTTGATTGGCCTAGCATGGAAATCTGTAATCGTCTAGTCTTAGCAGACAATTATATCCTCGGCTGCATCTGTCACTCCAGTCTCAGGACGTTGGAACAGGTGATTCCATACGAAAGCATTTTTTTGGAGAGAAGGTTTCGCCCAACAACTGTCCTAATTTAGCAGATATCGCTGAGGAGGGGTTAAACAAGCAAGCGGCCGCTCGCTAGATGCACTAGATTCGGCTGTTCACTGCGGCTGTTCCTTTTATCGGTTTACGAGTGGAACAGAATCGGCGTATTTGTACCATATTCAGGACGAACGCATCTTTTGAATGTTTTCGAAGTTGTTAAGTGTACTCTAAGTTGTGTTAGGTGGTTCTATTGGATACGCTCACAAATGACTTGTGACAATCGGCCTAAAGCTCATAAGTGACAGCGAAAGCAGGTTTTCAAAGTAGAAGATGATTGCGTACCGAACGATTCTAGGGAGGAACCTAATCAATGATATTCATGGTAAGTAATCATACTGGAATTCGAAACATGAAATATAATAAAAAGTAAAATGGAAAAAAACGTGCGTGTGCCTTTTCTATGCAACTGAAATGCTGAATCTCGAAGTTTAGATTACACCATACAATAGGCCAGTGATCGTGTATCCAATAGAACAGAATCTGTAATCGAGCCAGAGGATGTTAAAATCAGTTTGTTTTCTATTACTACATCGCCTATCTTATCACCGCGTATTTAAAACTTGGTCATCGAAGTAATCGGCTGGGCGCAGATGTTTCTGTTCTAATTACCCAACCTGGGTTCAAGAGAAGGCAGAAATGCTTCTTTGTGTACTTGCAAAATGTGTATAATTAGTGCTTGAACTATGAGTTGCCTATAGAATTACCTACGGCTGCTACGTCTTCTAGCTATACTGTGTACATGTGATTGTAGGCGGCTTTGCATAATTTCATTCCAAAATGCTTAATGTATTTAACATAATTTACATCTCTTTTGAGACAGTGTAGCATTGGAGATATCGCAAAGTTTGAGATTATCGCAAACTTATCAAAACTGCCAACTTCAGTTTATCTTCTGGGTGAGCTTTTGTGGCCTAAACGTTTATGTGATACGACTAAAGATTTACTCAAATTGGTTTGTAGAAAAGCAGAAATCAACGGTACCAAATTTGTGTATCTAGTTATTAAAAGCGTGCATATAGTGCTGCTCTGCTGCATAGATTTTTCTTGTCTGTACACCTGTTCGGATACATCCGAAAAAGATTACATAATATAGTGAAACAGATTACATAATCGAGCTACATGGATTACTCCAGTCACCTGTTAAACTGATGATGGATCAACAGGTGGTTTCCGGCAGGTTGCCACCATCGGCTTTATCGGATTAGGAAATATGGGATCTGGCATGGCCTCAAATCTTCTCCAAAAGGGTCGACAGGTTAGTGAAGATTTACGGGTACTGATTATTGAGTTGCTGTGCCGTAGTTGTATTTATTAATTATATTCACAGCCCCAGATTTCGAACACGATTTTATCTTCTGACATAGGCGAGTTGAAATGATGAATAAATTATAAAAGGCGGAATCCTAACAAAAAAAAGGCTTACACATTACAGTACTTTGAACTTTAACGAAGCTAGTATTATTATTAAATACTAACTAAGTACAAATGGTATTGGACATGTAATATCGAAATATAGTACATCGAGTTACAATTAAGTACGAAACCGAAATCGCTAATGTTTTGAGGATTCTAGACGCTTTCTAACCCAGTTCTATTACATCCACACAATAGCCGAGTTCTGAGAACATTGACTTCAAATATTTTTCATTTTCTTTACATTGCATCGTATCAAATCCACTTCATCGAAGTAGCAAGTGGCCACGTTACTACTACGCCGTCTTTACGGGCGTCCTTTTGCAATCGGCAAAACAATCAAATGTTAATACCTGTTGTATTTTCAGGTAATAGCCTACGATATAGTAATTGATGCATTGAGTACTCTAAAGGGCCAGGGGGCCCGAGCTGCGGCCAATCTTCGAGAGGTTGCAGAGCAGTGTGACAAGATCGTAACGATGCTTCCTACAAACGCACACGTCGAAGAGGTAGAGACGTCTTCGATCAATCAAATTGTCATATAGTGGCCCCTAGACTCGTTCCGTTGTGAAGTTTTGGTACTCGGCGCGACACTGCGACGAAAGATATCAAATTTAGCATCGCTCTATTGCGTTTATTCTGGGCTGTTGCGCTTGATAAAAACAGAATTGATTATGGAGCGTTTTATTATTATATGCGAAAATCACAGAAACTCTACTAACACATTTAATTGGACCTATTGGTCCTGAGTACACGGGATCTGCCATAATACAAGTATTGAGCATCAAGCGTTAGTTGGCCTTCATTACACTGTTTTTAAATAGGTTTTAACCGGACCGGATGGTCTGATCAGCTCAGCGAAGAAGGGTACACTTCTCATTGACTGCAGTACAGTAGATCCCGATCTTTCACTTCGGATGTCAAACCATGCCGCTAAGTACCAGCTCAAATTCGTAGATGCCCCTGTCTCCGGAGGTAATTTCTTTTTTATCTTTGTTATATATATTATACTTTTGCTTGCATACAGCATTTACCCTCATGTATTGCAGCCATCGTAAATCATAGGGGTCTAAAACATCAACCTAAGCATAGTCGATTGATTAAGAGTCAATTTTTCGATTTCGAAGGAAGTTGTCGATTTGGAAATTTGAATATTAGCTTCTAATCCTATTGCTTTTCATAATGATTCTAAAAAAAAAAAAATTAAGCGATCAGCATATATGTTGCCTATAACTCGTGCTCATAAAAAAACAGAGAGAAAGGGTGCTCATGAACTTATCTCAAATCATTATATATTTTGGTTGCTACAAGGTGTTAATGCGGCACGAGCAGGAACACTGACCTTCATGATGGGGGGTGCCAAGGAAGACATCGACCAGGCGGAAGAGGTTCTCCTGCAGATGGGGAAAACAGCAATTCATTGTGGTCCAGTGGGTTGCGGTGGAGCTGCTAAGATCTGCAATAATATGATGCTTGCTATTTCCATGGTCGGGCATTCGGAAACAATGAACCTCGGTATAAAGTATGTATCTTTTGGCTCTGTACGCACTAGATACGATAGTAGGCTTGTTTAGATTTTGCAGATTATTTATTTGTTCACAGTGACAGTTCGTAGCGAATAAATAGTGATAATCTTAGTATAAGGTAGCCTGTTGATAACGATGAACTATCTTATCTGACCTTACTTTTCGTTTATTTATTAAAAATATTTACAAATAAATGTCGTTTGGTGTTTGCGCGGTTGACAATTTTTGTTTGAGTTTATATTTAGGAAATGTTAGTTTTTGATATGCGTGGAATTTGGGGCTTACTCCTGAACAAAAAGCGACTGATGTATATTCGGGAACTATTTCAACATGCTGTAGCCGCCAATTTTCTTATATACTTATACATTAAAAATAATCTTCGATTTTGGTTCAGGTTGGGTTTGGATCCAACGGTTTTGAATAAAATCCTGAATGTGAGCTCTGGAAAAACGTGGGTGAGTGACTTGTACAGCCCTGTGCCTGGAGTAATGGCCAATGTGCCATCTTCGAATGACTATAAAGGCGGTTTTGGATCAGCCCTGATGCTAAAAGATTTAAGTTTGGCTCAGGGGGCTGCGACGCGTACGGAGGCGCCCACACCTTTAGGCGGATTGGCTCTGCAATTGTACCGGATGCTTTGTTCGCAGGGCCATGGAGGAAAAGATTTTGGATACATCTTTCAGCTGATTAGTGCCGCTAATAAGAACGATTAATACTGCGGATTACCGATCGGATATGAACAAGTGGTGTCACTAAAATCAAGGGGATCTATGGGAAAACACTAAAGCGCTAAGTTTTTAATAGAATTCTTTTTTCAATACAATTTTTTGTGTACTTAAATGTATTTCAGCTGTGAGGATACACAGTTTGAAATAGAAGCCACAACTTGTGCGCGTATATATCCGAGGAGTATGGTTAAATTAACTAAATATTTACAACAAGGATGACCTGTGTTCGATTGGTGAGTCATCCAATATCAGATATGAGATATGACTGTACGCATACGCAAGTGAGTTCGATAGATGGCTCTACTAATAATGAATTAGCGTTTCATATTAAATGATTCAGTATTATCCGTATGCAAATCGAGATTTTGTCGCAGCGTTTTGTTTTAAGTAGGAAAGAAGTAATAAAGAAAACGGAATTTGTATAGCAGGATACGATGCACGGTAAGTGAAAGTTACGCTTTTGGTTGTTGCTAAAAGCGACTGTATTGTTTTAAATAATGGCCGTTTCTATATACTAGCTCTCGCTTTAGGATGAGATAAAGCCGAGGTACATGATGTTATTTTAATCAATAAAGTTACAAGTGCCAAAGAAAGCTTCCCTGTTTTTGCAAACACTGAAACCGAATACAAATGAAGTTCAGCAATAGAGTATGACCAGACCATCGTATTTGACCATTTATGAGGCACTTGGTGAGGAATATGAATTAAATGCTGAGATTTGCGTCTAACAGTGATTTACTTATTATCAATTAATTATTCTACTTAGAAATGACTGCGTTCGAACAAACAAGTGGGCTGAAATTGATCTATGTTGTGGTGGCGAAGGTAAGGCGCCTACAGGAGGCGCAGAGACGTTTGCTGTGTGGAGTTTTTTAGTACCGGATCTTGAACTGATTATAAATTTCATTCATCAAATCAATCGCGTTCTAATTTTAACAGAAGAGTAAATTTGGAAATTTGAAGTGCTGTCACACGATTTGTATATATTATAATTATATTAAAACCTCCATTCTATTCCGCTATATTAGGGTAAACTGGATGTACATTTAAATGGAATACCTTAGAAAGGGAAGGGAAATATCATGTGAGGATTTTACTTCATTATTCAACAGCTTTTACGTTCCAACACGAGAACGTGTTGCCAGCTTCGGTGCATTTTGTTTTTGCACTTATTTTTTAGCATATGGTATTTAACAAGATGCAGAAAGTGTTAGTGAGCTTTCGCCCAATTTCACCTGTCGTGGAAAGCTACAAAGAAACGAGGACATCAATCAATCTGGATAGATAAAAGGACAGTCAGAAAACAAAATATTGTTAGCTACATTTATTCTTTCAGCATCAACACTGGCCTACATCTCTTCAGGTTCTCATTGAGAATTAGTGTATAACAGGTGTTACTCTACGAGCATGTCACTCAGCACTTCGCGAGGCCACGCATTCTTTTATTATGGGTAGGCCTAGTAGAAGAGTCGGTAAAGACTAGAGGCACCGACTAGAGAATATGAGCTTGCTCATGGCAATTGCGTATTCGTCGACTGCCGGAAGTTCTTCAAAAAACAGCTGTATTTAGAGGGCAAGAAAGTATCAGTGTGATACTCATCGAATCTGCCCCTGATAGAACTGATCGAATATTTCTTCGTCAGTGCCTAGGTTTTAGATACGTCAGCTGTTCGAAGAAGACAATTGTTTGTTATGATCGTATATTTTGTGAATAAGATTTCGTGAAAAGTAATGCAACTTGGCGAAAAAATTCCTTTAGTTTAAACTCGGAAAAACCGCGAACGCTTTTCGCGCTAACTGCACAGCTTGAATAATTAGCGTGGCTTTAGAACGTCCGGTGTATGGAATTTTCTTTTTTGTAAAAAGTAAAACCATCTTCCCTACCTGACAAAAACTGAGAGGTAGAGAGAATTATAAAAAATTTTCGAGTGATGAGAGATATACTATCGTATAAGCCGAGGATTGCATGCTTGAAGGTTACTCAACTGAATGGTAAAAGCGTACAATGCAGGGGGTCGTTTATCTCATAAGTATTTATTAGTTGTCTAGTACTTCGATTGCAGGTGATAATAACACACTGGACAAATTGCACGGGAACCATACGCCGTACGCCAGCCAGACTGGGCAGTTTCAGATCGAATATTTTTCTGTGATTAGAAAGAGCGTCTGTATTGGCTATAAGTCTCATTTATCGTTTTAGTTCGATGTTAGATTTCTAATGGGTAAGTACCTTAGTAAGTGATTGTTATTAATAGCTATAACTGTTAATGATCAAAGCCCTTCTGCGTACTTAAGCAATCAGTTTTCCGTTCTGCCAAATAAAGCAGAAGCACTTGCTTTCCCAGGCGAGCTCCGCACACAGGGTAATTAACGTTGCTACGGCCCCCATTCCATAAATAATAAGGGGGCCCTTTAGCTTCGATAAACCCAACGTATAGACCGTGGGCTCCTCCTGAAAAGCACGATACAGTTTACCAACATTAACAGAACTATAACAAATAATTCTAAGTATACTATGAAAGCAAATTATAGATAAAACACCAGCTAGTGGCGCACATAACCGTTCGTACATTTGCCACAATTTCTGTATATATTCAGCATAGTTCAATATAGTAGCTAATTAACTCGGCAAGAGTAAATGTGTCAAAAATGCTAAACGAAACGAGCACGGGTTCAATATATAGGTTTTTTTTTTAAAAATTGCTGGAGAAAATAGATATGTCATTGGCACTTTTGCTACCGTTACATTATAGGTTCTGGAATAAACAACATATAGCCTCATATAAAAAAAAAACAGATAAATGCCATTAGTTTTGTGTGTCAACTTCTTAGATCTATTCAGTATATCTAAAAGGTAACCTATGTTCTCAGTAACAAATCACAGTGCGGGTGCAGATGTACTCAATATAGTAGTTAGTCGAGATTTGTTTGGAAGTAGTTATACATTATAAGAAATATGTGAAAGTCAAAGGATGTAAAAAGCCAGCGAAATGCTAATTCAATACCTGTGTAGGTGCTCCGTTTACGATTTCACAAGTGAAAAAGTCGGCCATAGCAATATTAAGCCATTTACGAATATTTCCGGTTTCTTGCAACTCTCGAATTCTAGAAATGACACAACGTTGATGTTATCCCATTTGACGTATAACTGTAAATGAGCAAACTTGCCAACTGTACTATGTAAGCACTTACACAACAGAAACTTTCATAATAAGGTGAAATAAGGTTAGCTTTATATTCATCTCATAGCGTAGTTACGTCTCGTGAAATTTTGCCCGAGCAAAACGCTTCGATGAATGAATTAGCCCAGAGATATTTAAGAGCTGTGTCTATCTACACTGCGTAGGAAGATCATCTAATATATAATTTTTTTTTTGAAATTGAAAATTGTCTGCTCGATAAGCTGTATTGGGTGGCTAGATATGGCAATGGCGAATGTACAAACTTTGACAGAAATATGTGTCACTAGGAGAAGCAGAAGAACTAAAAACAGCGTGAGCAGCTAGCATGAGGAAATATAACGCATGCCAAAAAATCCGGTAGTTTTTGTTTGTTTCGTTACCTAGTTGCATTGATCGCAAAGTATGTGCTCTTGGCAAAGCGGTAATCAATTTGCCTAGATAATAGCAAGCATAAGCCTTGAGCCATACACGGCGAGTACGGTCCTACTACCGTGCACTGGATTAAACTCAAGTTTCTAGTTCATCGAATATGTATTGTTTGTACAGAAGTACATTAGTTAAATAGAGTATAGAGCAATAAAATGGATAAATAAAAAAATCACCTGTAAGTACATTTATTGAAAGTTTGACACCAACGTTTTGTTAATGACGCGTTTGAGCATTGGATGCAGCGTTTTCCGGAGGGACATGCTAAGTCCATGCGTATAAACGGGCTCCTTGGCGAAATAGAACTCTCCAGGGTGACCTCGAAGGGCATCGCAGCTTCGACCGAGGTTGTACATAATCGACGACTGTTCGTTGATTATAACTGCTCGACCTCCAATCATAATAATCATAAAAGAGCATCCTAATTACTTATCTCCTGTACAGGCGAAGCCACGTAAAATTCAATAGGACCGCAAAATTATTTGCTTTTGTGCACTGCTAAGTAAATGGAGATGCTCGGCAGAAGTACTAGATTTCGTTAATAAAATAAATAAAAGTTAAAAATAGAATAATAAGTTGTTTAGTTGCACTGTTATTTTTTCATCTGACAATTTTAACCATTGATTCCAAAAAGTCTAGAATATCTGGACACGAACTGCATCGTTCTGATCTTTTACTACTTTAGGCCAAAGACGACATAATTAATATTTACGGCACATATGTTATGTTCATAACACTTGAATATTTTTTGCCTGTACCTTGGAGTACATTCATGAAGTTTTCATTAGTATACAGTTGATTTCCAGGTAAAATACCGTTCTTCTCCATTGCGCGGCTGTACACTGTCTGGTAAATATCCATGTCGGCCCTCTGCGGGTGTTCCCAGAAAAATGACGATTTCCTTTACTAACTTAGCATGATCGGAATATCATGAGTACAAACCTGGACGGGTTTAAAGAGTGGCTCAACTGAAATACCGCTATCTGTTACAATTCAATTAAATGTCAATATTAAAAAAAATCAGCCGGACATCTATTCAGAGATACGGCATGTACTATATTATAGAATGTAGCATCTGCATTATGTGCAGCTGTCTGAAATGTAGTGCAAGATACACTGAAAAACTGTAGCAAACCCACCTGGAAAAGCTTATGGTACGCGGTCCCTCTCCAAATGATTGGTACTACTTGTTTTCGTACCACTAAATCCCTCATAGAGTCAATCCTACTTGATCCTGAGCTGATGAGTAAACTAGCCTTCATCGTTCCTATGGCCAGCCCAGAGTAGTTCCGTCAATAACAGACATAACAAAATAACTAATGGCATAGCGCGCCGTTGTCTTTTGGAGGTAAGCCAAATCGAAACCAAAGGGCAATTAACAAACGAACATACACTGGTAGAAATAGAGAGTAATTAAGCTTAAGTTTGAAATAAGTTGCAAAATCCCTGAGAGAAGTGAAATGTGTCTGAACAGAGCTATTCTAACTGTGACAGTTCCTATGATCAGGATATCCATCTTTCGTAGTTCCTGCAGTAAGGATTACTATTGTAATCGAACAAAACCAATAACGACTCTAGTATTGAATACGTTGCGTTTTCGATCGTATTTGGCATTCGGGGACTATCAGACGCTGGGTTTAAGAGTACGGCTGTTGAAGCGCTTCACTAAACTTTGAAGATCGTTACTTTGTTACTTGTTGCAAGTGGTTCCTAAATAGGCCTCGTTACTTTTCTATTTGGTCGAGTTTAGCGCGATGATCTGCTATGTGAGCAAAATGCTAAGTGCACCTTAATACCTGTAAGGCAATATAATTCTATAAACGCAACCCATTTTGCGTGGTCTACAATACTGGACATCAACTACACTTACGCGTTGCCTTTTGCAACGAATGTATCTATCATCTAGAATTATAAATAGCCAAACTGTAGCACGGCTTAAGTAGATAAGTAGTTTTTCATGCAAATAAAATCTACATATATATATATATATATATATATATATATATATATATATATAATATTAGCCGCCTTTATTTACCTTGGAATATGCTCATAGTAAGATAGATGGAAGTCAGCCAGAGTCCAATTAAAATGCGGCCAGAGTTGCCCTTGGGAAGATCTCGGTCCTCAATGCTTTCGAACAATATTGTTCTCACAACGCTCATTAGATTCCTTCATTTTATGACAAACAAAATTGCGCATATTACTTTGCTGTGTATATTGGCCTAATTCCAAAACTAGTGCCATCATACTAAAGGCCTCCTGTCGTCCAAGGTATTATTGATACACTGATAGAATGAAAAATTGTGACACAATCAAAGTCGAAATGTCGACGATTGTATTTACATAACAAAAATTACAAAAAAAAAACTTAAAAGTTGTTATTATCTAGTGCCCGAATTGTGATGTCCGCACAGAATCGGCTGCGTTATGGCATCATTGACATTGTACGAAGCAAGTAACTGAGACGATGCATTTGCATCTGTCATCTCCATTGTAGACTGGAGATTAGAGAAACACACCGGTACTGTCTATAAAATGAATTCTCACAAGTTTGCTTGGCTTGTTCTGAACTTCTAGTTTCTTTGAGACGGTAAAGAACACTTGCTTATGGGTTGGATTCTGACGATCTGTCTGTTGCAAAACAAATTAGTGAACGCTGCGCACTCGCATTTACACGTTTGGCTTGTCGTAGTAAACGACCGGTGGGAAAAACACAGGCGGGGTATTTGCGCTTGTTCCTTAAACAGCATTTAGTTCGATTCTTGCATACTCTGTACTTCATTATTAAGGACCATACAATGTACCTTAACGGTCATGCAAACGGAGAAAGTTGTTGGCCTAGATGATTCCCTGCGTAGTTCCATATGCAAATGGCATTGAGCGCAGCGTGCATATGTGGAGCCGTGTGCGAAAGCCAAGAAAAAGGCGAGGCTAAAACGAATTTGCTGAACGTTTTTCGCAAGTAGACGCAATCGGTTAAATGTTCCCGAATCTATTTGAGCTGAAGTTAACTCTGTGAACTTGCTTATAAATCATAGGAAAACCGTTCAAAATGAAATGGTATTTTGTATTTTCACTCTTTGTGCGTTCGATGATAGCCCGTTTCGAGCCTATGTATTCTGGGAAGCGTCCACGTGTAAAATTGTTGCCAATTTGGGGCGTCGGTGTCTTAGAAGATGTGATCGACGGATCTCTATAGGAGAATCCTTGTGAGGTGGCACGCTTTCCGTTCTACTAGTTTCCGCCTGAGTTATTGTGGGACCGACTTGAATTAGCTAGGATAAAAGCTGGCAGCGGAAATATCGTCCTTTGAAAAAAGGCTCTATGAGCGAATAAGTGAGTATAATCAAACGTCAATTATAACTTCGTATCGTGACCACTGTAACACATTTCCTGCTATCTAAAATCGTTCTCAAGATTAGATCAGATCCGTTTACGTGATAGAGGTGCGTTCCGCTTATAGCGTCGTCCTTCAAGTTCGTCTTTCGATCTCAGAAGTAACTAAATTATATTCAAATACATTTCGTCTCACTGTGAACCTCGACCTATTATTAGTTCTACTTGTGTTAAATTCAGTTATTTAGAGAGGAAACAAGCAAAGTGCCAGGTCATCCCACCAAAATGTTGTGGTTAAATGATGTCAGCTTTTTAGCCATAATTAGCGGGCTGTGGGTAGGTAATATAGGATTGTTCAGACTTTAGCGTTTTTCTCCGAAGCTGTCTATAGTACTTATAGAAGACGACTCTCGGGCAGACGCAGCGGTTTTCTGCCAGTAACTATGTTGGCCAGTATTACCTGTTCATAAACCGCTTCTAATATGCGATGGGGTTTATTGCCGTCACTAGAGATGTGTTTATATAGCGCACGCGCACACACACGCACGTGAATCCTACAGATGACAGCGGAGCTACTAGAACGTTGGTTACAACCGCAGATATGCAATATAATAAATTTTCGATACGTGTTTATTTAGCTCACCGCCTAGTCTGCTAAGTAACCTACTCACGTGGATATATACATGTAACTAAACAACAAGATAAAGACTCAACAAGTTGGCTACAACTTGATATTGTTGTTCACCGGAATTTTTCGTTACTTAGGTGCCACCTTGTGTGTTGAAATTTTCGCTTGAAAATATAGCTGCAGGTGGACTTAAAATGAAAATGAGTGCGTTAATTACGCACAAAAGCTAATAACATGATGCTAACCCCAGAAAATGCTTAGCTTAAAACAGGAAAAAAAGCTTTAAGTTTTGGATTTGACATAACTGTCAAGCATTACTTCAAACGGCTAGCTTGAAAAAAATAAAACGAGGCGTGGCCTCGCCCGCCCGGTTTCAAACCTAGATCCTCTTGCGTATCCCTAAATTTGACAGACAAACATGCACCGTCACGGGGATAGCACCCAGTGCCTAAGAATGTTCACACTTACTGAACCATAGTCGTATCGTTACAGCGCATAATTGTGTAAAAGAAGGTTGCTCCAGGCCAGGTGTCAAAAGAAGTAGGTCCATACCTGCCATAGAGGACAAGCATTCGCGAAAATAGCGTACGGTTTACATTTCCTTCGTTGCGTTCCAGAAGTCGACTAAGCACCAAAATAACAGGCATCACTAATGTCGCCATTAGCAGGCACGTCCAGACCTGTATCGCGCAGATGTTACCGTGAGAAACTTTATAACGCTAATTATAAGATTTGTTTGCTAGTGTTACTTTTTAGTTTATTAATAGGATCGAGAGTTCATATACCGTAGTTGACGTTAAAAGTATATATGTGCTGGGAGAGTTTCGAATTTATTATCGTTGTGAACTCGACATCGGCGTGAACAAGCATCGTACAAATCGCGAAAAATAATAATGTCTAGGTGCGAATTATCAGTTTTAAAAATGCTGCCCTGTTGGTGTCATCTCTAGCAACTTCGAGACCTGTAATGCACGTGCGTCATAAAATTCTCACGTTTGATTCGAATGCCCCAAATAATCCGAAGTAATTATCTTGGAATCCGAATGTGCGGCCAGCGAGTATACTTAAGTCCTGTACCATGAACTCGGAAGACAGAGTCACTACCCGATGTCGATCCAATGTTTGTCCGAATGCGTTCGCGGCCCAGTCGGATTCCTGTTACGTATCATTTACGTACGTAGGGCAGAATGAAGAAATTAAGCTTATCCTTTCAAGACGATAAAATGCTTTGCTACAATGTAACAAACATGCTTGTTACGAATTTGTTCTCCACAAGTATGTCCCGCGCTCTCTATATCTAGATCTCCAGATCTCCAGTCAAACTGTTTGTGTGTAATAACGACTGTTTGTAAATAAAAGCTTACATGCATATGAGATTATTTATTTCTATATATCTTTCATTCTCCAGAGGGAGTAGTAGTGAAACATGTGTCAATGAATTGGGTTTTTCCATTTGACAGTATCGTTACGTACGTTTCGGGTGAGCATTCCAATCATGCCCGTGGCACTGCCGTTCGGAAATATCACGCCCCACTGTTGATCTGCTGGAATGTTCGCTTCGTACCTATATTAAAAAGGGGAATTAATCATTTGAACCCTATTTATTTAATCGTACATAAAAGGATTAAAAATTTAAAGATTATTTAAAAAAGTGTTAAAAAACGGGCAATTGCTTCAAGTAGGACGTAAAAGGAAAATTCCATTTCAGCATAGGCAAACTCGAACGCTAGCTTTTGTTATCAGCGTCACGACTAATCTTTTTTCATTTACGTAGCCGGACACTTTATGTACGCCACAAGGCACTGGAGATCGGAACCCTCGCGAAAAATTCTGAAACGCAGTTATTGTACTGCAAGTCTGCAAACATAAGCTAAAGCAATTATTCGTAAGTGTAAGAAGTACAACAAAACGACCTTTAACGTACAATAAATAAACCCGCTGTGTGAACGTGTTGTCTATCGCAGTCCGCTAGGGATACGGGTAAAAATTTAGAGAGTTTTATTGGGAGCTATTCTACGCTTAAATAAAACGTATTTTTAATACGCTCTTCTTGTTCAGGTGTCGTTTGAACTTGTACCTATTTCATATTTCTTAATCAGGACATACATACAATGGGTGACATAAGGATTAGTTTTTCTATTATGGGCCTTCTCTCCGATATACTGAGGTTCATCCTATATCACAGTAACTTCATGGCAATAGAGGCGACCTGCCAGATTTTCGGCTCTGTCGACAAATGAACTTTTATACACTTCTACTACAAGTAAGAATTTACAAAGCCATAAAAGGACAAAATCAAACGTTCACCATTTTCAGTTACGACAGAACTTGTTTTTCCTTTTCAATTACACTATAAACCAATAAAGAATAGAAGAAGAAGAATTGGAATACCATGTACCTACTCAGATACTGTATAGTATGTCCTCCTCTTTAGGTGAACCCAGTGACATCTATTCCACAAACAAATCACTGCTATCATCAATACGCTTCTTACTTTCTACCATACGTCCATGATAAAATAATCTTGCCACCAATATAATTTACACTGTCCTAACTCTCTTTTCTTTGTTTTTTTACTACCAGTAGGACTGGATATCATGGTATACACACGAGACAAGGCAGAAAGTACGTGGAAAAACAATGTTTATGGATTACCAAGTGAACGCGGTGTCCCTATGACCTGCTTACGAGAACTAGCGACAGATTAAAGTAATATCGTCATTTCACTCCTTATAATGTAGATACGTACGTGAAGTTATATCTGGCGATAACGCTTTCAAGAACGTTTCCCATCGGACCACGCACTAGAACCTGCCCATTATCGCGATGGATCAGTTGGGTGTACGGCTGCCACTAGTAGTTCCAATTAAAAACTATTTCAGTACCATATATTGTTAAAAGGAGCTAAATAACAGACCGGTTAGCTCATTACAGAAATTTCACGAATAAGCCTCTCTATGGAAAAACGTGTGTGACACGTGTTTAAAACAGAAGCTTAAAAATATGAATATATCTTTTTATAAACGGCCGACTCGATATAAATATCTTATGGTCACAATCCTGCATACGCATGAATTTCAGTTGAAAATTTTGTAAGTTGTTGGAAATCATTGTAAGTTTAATCGATTGTAGTATTTTTTAGTCACATTTTCAACATTAAATTTAAGACGTTGGAGAACAACTGGAGAGCGATGTACGCTCCAGGAAAACACTAAATTTGCTACCTTTATGTAGCCGTACAATGAGAAAGGGGTCAATACGAGCTTTTCGTGCATAAAAGCACGCATAAAGCACACTTTATGCGAGAGTAATTTCGGCTGAAAAGCGTACCGTCATCGTCGTAATTCGCAAATGGTATCCCCGAAGTTCGTCAGGAAGACTTATTTTTGACATTGCTGGTCACCACTGTAGACTGAGACGACTGATTTCGAGAGTTTAACAAAGGCTAGCTAAGCGCATCGAATAAAGCTTTGATCGTTTTCTCCAGTGTATTATAGGACCGATAGCATCTGACACATAATCTGACTACGCTGATCGATATTGGTTACAAAAATGTTTCAGTCCAACATCGTCCCTGACTTTGCTAGTCTTCGTCAAGGAGACAGAGGAGATTCTTTGTCATAGAATATACGTCCTATGTTTTGTACGCCGATAAGCTGAATCGCACGCATCGCAGGAGCAACGCTTCGCTGCATCTCAATAAAAAAAATAGATAACTAATATTCTGGCAAGCAAATCGAGATAAAAAGAACAAACTTTAATATGCAACGTTTTACCTTCAACTCAGTTTTCAAGGGCCGCGTCTTTGGCTTGTCGGCATTATCGGCAATCGGATATTTGGGATATTTAACGACACTGCCTTGGAGGCAAACAGCTCTGTGGCAAAATGCGGACATCTTTGATTCTCAGAAATTACAGCGATTGGGTAGTAGGTTGAACTCGTTCGGGCATATTACATGTGCTTTCGTTTCAGGTATATGACATGTTAGATTCGTCAATAAACGTCCGTTCAGCGTTAACGGCTCATGCTTATCAGAAGACATAATGAAGCTATGCAGACAGACAGATAGTATTAGTAACTCGCAGGTATGAATTTAATCGTGATTATGTTTACCATACGTACCAGGAAATATATCAGCTAAAACAAATGTTTCCGAGGCGGTCAATATTCGAATATTAACGGATACACTGTCCTGCTTGCTGAAATACCTTTTAATCGCTTGGCCTCTTTATCGACATAAAATGATGTGTGTTGTGATTTCATAAACTCTTGGGCTAATGTTAGCCAAGGGATCTACCGGCTGATAATTGCGCTAGCCTAGGGTAAGCAGTCGAGGGCAATAGCCTTTTTTGGACAACAGGGAAATGATTGCGTGCGAGGCTAGCATTTTGTCGATAGTTCATGTATAAACTGTTAGTACGAAAGAGGACAAAAAATTATAAATATTGGGATAAGTGTGAAAGTGAGAAAGCTGTGTCGGTCGTATAGGTAGCGTATTTTTGTTAACCGAAAGTTAACAAAAATACGCTAATAAAAGCTTTTGTTTTATAAAGTGAAACAAAGAGTAAACCTATTATTGTTTGCCCCCCAGTGATTTAGTGTTAAGGTCAGTTGTTGGTCGAATGAAGAGGCCTTTTCGTCGAAGAACTGCGCAGATAATAGTCATTTAGATAATTCTGATATTGTATTTTTTATATATATATATATATATAATAAATTCACATTCCATTATCCAGGAAAGCGAACTGGATTTTACTGGGAGCAATGTTTTCTCAAATATTCTCAAAACAATTAACCTAAAATATAACAACAAGCATATTGGTTAGGCAAAAAATAAGGCTTCTACACGTAGACGTATTTACGTTATCATATTTGATTAGCTTGATGTATAAGTTATGTCTCTTCTTTATTTTTTTTATGTTAGCTAACAGTCAAGCGTATTTCTTTAATTTTTCGCCAATGCCACGCCAGCTTAACGCTAAAATTCTATTAAATAGCCTGGAAATGTTTGCTTCAGTAATATTTTTTAATAGAAAAACCCATCTATTTTAAAAAAAAATTGATTGTGTCCTTTGCTTTAAACGTTGGTATCATCGTATTACCTAGGCAGGAACATCCAGTATGCACTGAGGTTCTCGCGTGTCGAAGTTATTTAGTCAAGAGAAATACCAAATCATGTTCTCCTTGAACGTCCTGCGCTTTCATCTGGCTGTAATCACAGTGAGCACCAAGAGTTTTCGTTCGTCGCGTTCAGTCATCCGGCCGCAATCGACATTTATCATTCTCGACAGCATCATTATAATGTTGGGCTCGTCTGATAGTTCTTTTACTGTTGTTGGTAGTTTCAATCTTTTTGAGGCCTATTTTATTTAGAGGCTCAGGGTGATGTTATTCGCTGTGCTCTTATGCCCATTAAGGCGCAACAGCCTTCCGGCAAAGCGGACTTAGGAATTGCTTTATTCCACCACAGCCACGATCTGTGCTAAAAACGTGTTACCTCCCTTTTCGCTGAGAAGAAAGGCTTTTGCAACAGGAACTGACAAACGCTGCAGAGGAGTAATGGAAAATGTATTAAACGGGATGGGATGACACAATGAGGAGCGGAAAAAGCGATGAAAGAGAACACGCTCTTCATAGATATATATATAGTTCTTTTATTGTAGTCTTCAGAGGAATGAGTTCTTAGTTCTTTATATGCGCTCGAACGTAGTATGGCAAGATTTAACAGTATTCCGCCTATTATAAATTAGCTTTTCGGCGCCCAGAACACCAAAATGCTGTTTTAAGTTTTTCTCGAACGAAGAACCCCAAAACAACGTACTATAATATTTATGTAATTCACAGCTCATCGTGTAGCAATGCGACTTTTCGCAATTTATGGTCCAGCCTTCTTTTAGTGCCTTTCTTGCGTCGACAAGTGTATGGACCTGCCTTTTATAAAGTGGATTTGCGTCGCATTGCTGGTCGCTAATATACCTATAGCTTTGAACGCAAGTAGATGGTAAATCTTCACGTTCCCCAACGTATTACCGGGATTAAAATATCTTTCTTTGCATAACAATGTCGTTAACTTCATTTACGCAGTTGCATCCACAATTCCCCCTTGACAGATAATTCTGTTGATTCGGGCCGTCTAGCTTTGATATAGACAGGATAATAAACTGCAATCCTTAATTTTTTGGTCTTTCAGCCCAACACATAATTGTACGTTTTTCAAGAGGGGATTATCTAGCGCCGGTGGGGTCATCCGTATAAGCCCCGACAGTTAGTTGCTCAGTTTAAATGCTTTGGACTTCTCAATTTTTGGTTCCTGCACATTGGGGACTTTTGGTTTGTTATCAATCGACATTCTTGTTTCTAGAGTATTCGGGCGAGATTTTAATGAATAAACCCATACCAATATTGTTCTATTTACGGTTACTATAGAAACTTTTCCTTTATGTTTCGCGTTTTACGGCCGGTATCGGTGTTAAACATTGCATTAGATGGCATCAGGGAAAGAACCTGAAGACATACTGCAACCTGTATAGACTCTGACTTGAAGCCGTGCTGGCAGTTACTTT